GGTTTTTGGGGCTTTAAATCTTTGAGGGAGCAGAAAGCCTCATCTTTTCTCTCATGGAGTAGCTGATGAGCTCGAACTGCAACTGTGTTGGTTCACAGTCCAGTGCTTATTGTATGGAGCTACCATGCTCTCGTTTATAATACTATAACCTGCCTAATTTCAGCAGTGCTTTTTCAGTCACTTTATTTCTGAGTTAGACATTTACAACCTAATTTTCAGATAAAATATCTGGCTTTTAAAAGCAAATTTTGAAATTAATATAGTTATGAGTTTCTGAAGTTGGTAAAATTTGACTGAAAATCAATTCTTGCACATTTGAGAAACTGAAACAAATTGGAAAACTTTAACCTTAATTATCAATCTCTTTTTACAGCGATCCTTCTTAAAACACAGAAATGAAACACTAGCCACTCTAATTTTGATTACTCTTTTGGGGGTGGCAAATTCTATTATTAATTTGTTTGTTTTCAGTTGATATATATTACAAAATTGATGTTAGATATGAAGGGAATTTTCCTGAAGATTATTGAAGACAATTCATTTTCTGTACCCTTTAATCTCATTTGAGTAGGCATGGTTTACATGAAATCTTATGATTTAAAGTACAGAGAGATTATTAATGAAAAGTACTTGTGTTGTTCTCTGTTAGCATCTCACTTAAAAGACATAAGGTGATCCTTAAGGTAATTTGGTTTTCCTTTCTTAGCTATCTCACAGTTTTATAATATGATATTGAGGGCATCATTTTCTTTGGTGGTGGAGTGGGCTATGCATCAGGTCGCTAACTGCAAAGTTAGCAGTTTGAATCCACCAGCCGCTCCATGGAAGAAATATAAGGCTTTCTGCTTCCGTAAAAATTTACAACCTGAAAACCCTATACCGGGCCATGTGTATTGGGTGGGCTATAAGCATAATAGCTGCCAATTCTCTGCTCTCTACATGAAGAGATGTGTAGATGCATTGCGTGGAGGAAGGTAGGCCTGAGTGAGCTACCATAAATTAGGGATACTGAAGGTATACCATAGATATAATGAAGGCACTGAGGAATTACAGCACTGTAATAGAACACAAAAGGAAGGGAAAGAAAGGCTTACCATAGCAATTGTGGATTTTTAAGTCCAGTACATACAGATTTCCCCTCCTATCTGAAAGTAGATAATTCCTATGAAACTTTTCATAAGCCCAAATGTTGTAAAATGAAGACGTAGTTACTATTAATTTATATGGGGGGAAAATTTTCAGCATTCTCAGACCCAAACCTACCAAATTGTACCAAAAAACACACAAAACCTCAAATAGTAATAACATAAAATGGTATTTTTGAGGATGGTGCACGACCTGGTAATGTTTTGTTCTGTTGTGCATAGGGTCTTTGAATCAGAAACAACTTGATGGCACCTACCAACAACAACATAGTGTTCACAGACACAATTCAAAGTTATGGAGGCTTGCTGCTGAGATGCTGAGTATAATTCCTAAGGAAGGAGCTTGGTGATGTCACTCTTATTGCTCAGGATGTGTACTGCCTCTGTAGTGACTTGCTGCAAAACAAACATTGAATGCTAGTTTTGCTTTTGCCTTTCTTCTTAAAGGGAAAAATCATCTTTGGATTTCTTTTAGTTTGTGAAAATAGTTACTACTGTATTTCTTCTTGTAGAAACCAAGTGGTACAAAACAAACTTTCAAAAAGAGGGGAATACCAGTAAGTAATGGTATACATTTGTGCTTCTCTGGTCTCTCCAAAGAGGACAGATGAGAGCTTTCACATTTTTCCAAGTTAGGGCAGTTTTTTTCCTTTCTCTCTGTTCTTCTGTTGTTGTTGCTGTCATTAAGTGCCACTGAGTCAGTTCCAACTTACAGCAACCCTGTATAGGGTTTCCAAAGAGCAGCTGGTGAGCTTGAACCGTTGATCTTGTAGCTTTAATTGACCTTGCAGTCCAGCACCTTAACCCGCAGCACCACACCAGGACTGCTTTTCTGTAGTAGGCTATTTTTACATTATTAGTTAGCTAATGTCCTCTTCAATCCCTCCTTGCCATTCTCCTGCCCTAAATGGAACAGCCCAGTCCGGGTTGTTGTTGTTGTTAAGTGCCATTGAGTCCATACTGACTCATATCAACT